ATTCCTGCATGGAGAACTACATCGCGACTTTCCCGGCGACCCAGTATTTCAGACAGCACAAAAAAAGATTTCGATTTTTCTCTTGTAAATCAAAGTTTATTACTTCTAATCTTTTTTCCTCTCACACCACCTTTCACCACCCACCCTCCACCACCCACTTTACCCTTTACTGTGCTGGCATCCACCCAGATCCTCTCCACTGTCCAGCCTCCCATCTCTCAGCCTCTGCTATAGAGTGCAGACACTCAGTACAGTTGAGTGGGGATATACAGTGTTTGTCTGTGAGAGCCTGGCTCACTTCACTCAGCATTAATCTTCTATATTCATCCATTTTGAGTTGAAGGACAGGATCTCATTTCTTTTAGCAGTAATAGTCCATGGTATATAAATAATATGCCAGTTTTTCAACCCAGTCATCAATCTTTAGATGGTTCAGTTTGTTCCATATTTTAGCAATGATAAATAATGGTCCAGTAAACATTGATTTGCAGATATCTTTCTTGTTGTTTTCTTATCCTTTGGGTAGATAGCAAGAAGTGGGATTGCTGAGTCATATGAAGTTGTATTTATAGATTTTTGAGGAATCTCCTTATTATTTTCCTGAGAGGTTGGACTAATTTTTATTCCCACCAGTAGTGTAAGAGAGTTCCCTTTTCCCTATAGCCTCAAGCCATGCAGTCAGCCGTGTGGGATTCAGCACTTTAACTAACCTCTTTACCACCTGCTGGTTTGATTGCGCGCGCGCGCGCGTGTGTGTGTGTGTGTGTGTGTGTGTGTGTAGATTTTTGCTATAGGGTGCATACACTCATAGGAGAGACAGAAATTGAGAAATTATTCTCTTGGGGGATGGCCATGCCACAGTCCCTTCTCCATTTTCCTTTTTGGATTTTAGGTATGAATGAATGCACTTGCGCCCAACGTGAATTTTGATCAGCCACATCTAGGACACGAGGACTCGAACCATGGTTGACTACGTGGGAGGCCAGTGATGTAACCATTACGCCATATGCTGGTCCCTGGTCTTTCATATATTCTTAACTGAGCCTTTACAACTTTTGTTGTATGAATATTACCAGTTTTTTTTCCGGATTAGGAAACAGCCGCTTAATTGAGTTGCTTGCTGATGTTTAAAGGTTAAGGGTTATGTTAAATGAACGTTGGGACAAAAGACTTTCAAAAATACTCTTAGTATAACTTATCCTAAAAATAATTTTGTTGGAGGCCAGCAGGTGGCATAGTTGCTAAGGTGCTGAGCTCCCATATGTCTGACATGTCTGGCCATAGTTCAAGCCCTGGGCCCAGCAGCTAGAAATTCATATCATACTGTGTGTGTGTGTGTGTGTGTGTGTGTGTGTGTGTGTGTGTCCCCAGAAGCCTAAGAGGACCATGGAGAAGGAATCACAGCATAACCATCTCCCCTGGGGAGTAATTTCTCCCATCTTGCTGTCTTTGGTGAGCACAGACACCCTATGGCAGAAGCACACGTGCGTACGTATGTACATACATACATATTTTATAGAGTATACTGGTACTCACATATGCATTTGTGCATTTATTTGAAACAGAAGCCTCTGTTCTCCTCTCAGGATCCCGGGCGGGCATGCACGCACACGCACTGGCATGAGTTTAAGCCACCGGGTCCAGGACTCGAACCACAGTCGACTGCATGGGAGTCCAGCGACATAGCCATTACGCCAACTGCTGGTCCCTGTAGTGTTGATTTTATGGTTGAGGTGGTTACTGTATAGTCATTCTACAGATACAAAAAGCATTTAATTGGAGATTTATAGTTAAAAACGTTGGGCACTGGAATTCGACCACTGCAAGACGTTACAAGGAAAGGCACAAGTGAGGGCGTGCCGCACCTGCTTTCCAGAAAACGTGGGGATAAGATGCTTCTCGACTCAACCTTACAGGTTTTACCGGGTGGTGGTGAGAGCATGGGCTCCCCCGTGTGTCTAACGTGTTTTCTTAATGGAAGTCACTTATGAAGATCACTGTGCAGTTATTTTACTGTTAGATGGTAGGCTTAATGCCTGTGGTTTGTTCTGATAAGCAGGACGGACTGCAGGTGGGCGATTTTTAAGTCAAACTTCTCTACCTCATTTTTAGCCGACTTGATTTAGTTCAAGAAGCCGTGTACTTCTTTGACGGTCTCACGTGCTTCCCGTGTCCTAGTGGTACAGCCCAGATTTGTTACAGACGCGTGACAGAAAGTGAGATTGTAATTTTCTCTGTGCTCATTTCATGACATAGTACCTAGTTAGGGTGCCGGCAGGTGACATGGTGGTTAAGGTGCTGGACTCCCACTTGGCCGACTGCGGTTCTAGTCCCAGACCTGGCAGCTTGCTTCCCCACTTTCCCTCTCTCTTGCTCTGTCCCTCTCTGGTCAAATTAAAAAATAAAATGAATAAATAAAGTTAAACAATTCTTTAACAAAATTACTTGTTAGAAAGCAGAGTTAAAACCATGCTGTCATTTCTGTCTTTGTTATCTGTGAGGCTGATAACGACTTTTTCATCAGTTTGCTTTCTGTTTCCATTTAAAAACCAAAAGTCAAAATTTTTATTTGCTTTCTACACCTCTACGTTGTTCTCATTTTGCTTTTATCCCAGTATTGGCAGTCTTGCTTTTCACGCCTATGTTTTTCAATTACTAGCTAGAGATGATCGCCATGGAGAACCCTGCAGACTTGAAGAAGCAATTGTATGTGGAATTTGAAGGAGAACAAGGCGTTGATGAGGGAGGCGTTTCCAAAGAATTTTTTCAGCTGGTTGTGGAGGAGATCTTCAACCCAGACATTGGTAAATACCGTAATGATGTGACCGTGCTGTCATAGCATCATAGCATCCGTCTGAGTTAAGAATTTGGGTGCCCTGGCTTAAATACTCACAGCTAAACTCAAGGCAAAGGTGCCGGTAGGGGTGGGCACACACGCGTTTAGGGACTGATTTGTACCATTCCCTTATGCAAGGTCTTGATGCTGCCTATTAAAGGGGGTTCATTTCTTTGGTAAACTGAGCTGAAAACATGTCAGAATGGAACATTAGAGCTACTTTGTGTTGTCTAAAACAACTGTCATTTCAGGTTTCAAAGTACAGGGTCTGAAGCGTGTTGGGAGGGTCTCACAAGTGTATCTGCTCAAAATGTAGACAGAGCAGCTGACCTCCCATCACTTAGGGACATAGTGTGCTACAGAATTACTTGGGACTTAAACGTAGTTCTGTTTCTCCCAAACCTTTTGAACTCCAATGCATTCTTCCCAGCCCACCTCTAATAACACTAGCCACGTAGAACAGTGTTCATCGAACACAGCCCTGGAAAGGCTGATGACACGTGTCAGTCTGAAAGCAAAAGGTCGGAGTTTCAGTTCTTTATCTTTTCCTTTTTATTTTTTTGAGAGGTTTTTGCTATAGGGTGCGTGCGCTCACCAGACAGAGAGAGACAGAGAGACAGAAAGCAGGAAATCACCCCCCACGGGGGATGGCCACGCCACAATCTCTTCTCCTCTCGGGATCTTGGGCACGCACACACACGCGCCTGGCGTGAGTTTAAGCCACCGGACCCAGGACTCAAACCGTGGTCAACTATGTGGGAGTCCAGCGACATAGCCATTACGCTAACTGCTGGTCCCTATCTTTTCTTTTTATGACAGACAAAGTGTAGGCAAAGTGGAACAAGGAAAAGACAGCCTCTCGAATAGTGCCATTAGCTGCATGCTTCTGAACTGCTTCAGTGTCTAATACGAGCACTTGGCTACAGGGCTTGCATGCCGTGGAACCTTCCTACCGAAGGTCACCGTGCAAGGTCAGAACTGAGCAACTCAGAACTGAGCAATGCCCGTCATTGCCCTCCACTTTGAGACTTGGCTAACGGGATCGGCCTGGGAAATGCCTAAAAGAAATGTTTCACAAGAGGCATCCGTTATGGTATTTTTTATCCAGAGACTTAGAAAAATGTACCCTGAATGGAATCTTTTGGACTTGAGAATTGTTATTTTTCATATATGGAGGTGAGAGTAGTGATCTAAGTCATTTGTATTCTGAATAATTGAGTTTATTGGCCTAGATCCAGGCTGTCCATTTGTGCCATTTCCTGAAATCTATAAATTAGCTATTTATCAACTGTTCTTGATCCTGTTAATACCATACTTAATTAAGTAAAGTCTTTAGCACTTCTATCATGATGTAACCGGGCCTGTTTTTAAAATTAAAAAAAAAAAAAATTAGATCTAAACTAAAATTCAAGTATGGGGCCAGCTGGTGGTGTGGTGGTGAAGGCAGCTGGGTCCCACCTGGTCGGCTGCATGGTTCCAGTCCCAGACCCAGAGGCTTGATAAGCACCCCAGGCACTTGTGCACGTGTACCCAGAGTCCCAAGAGGAGGAGGCCAAGGGCTCACACTGTAGTCGCCTCCTCTGGACGGTGCTTTCTCTGTTTGGGTCTGTCTGTCTGTCTCTCTCTGGCAGACGCAAATTTTTAAAAAAAAAACTCAAGTATGAATTGGATAATTTTCAAACCATTATTTCACGAACATTAAACTGTACTAGAAAAACTTGTCCTAAGCTGAATTTATGCTAAGAGTGATTAAGAAGATATTTTAAATGTTCTTTTCATTTTCTTAAAATGGCCAGAGGGCGCACATGCTCATCAGAGAGCAGGAAAGACAGCAGCGACCCCCAGTGGGATGCGGCTGTGCCACGGTCCTCCTCTCTAACTGTCCCCACTTCTCCGTCCACTCAGGGCTTTGGCCGCCTACTCGCAAGCGAGTGTCACTTTTTTTCAAGCTGGGAGGGCCAGGATGTGGACCAAGTTCAGCCCTGTGAGGTGTGGCTCCAACGCACAGTGCATAACCGCTGTCCTACAGCACAGGCCCATAAAGAAGTTTTACGTTAGCTTAAGCTAAAAATGAAAATGAAGGAACATTTGAGGTTCTGTGTCTGTCTGTTGGTGTAGATTTTAGCTATAGGGCATGTGTGCTCTCGGGAGAGAAAGAGAAATCACCCCCGGAGGGGATGGCCATGCCATAATCCTTTCTCCTCCAGTCTTCTCCTGGGATTTTGGGTACACGCACATACACACCTGGCGTGAATTTTAAGCCGCTGGGTCTGGGACTTGAGCTGTGGTTGACTGCACGGAGTCCAGCAACATAGCCATTACATCATCTGCCGGTCTATTATGTAATTTCTACACTCTGTTCTGTTGATATTATAGTATTTTTAGACTAATTCCTAAAATATTTTTTAATTTTCATAGTAGCATCTGAAAAACATTTAGGAGGATGACAACTGTAAATTCACTTAAAATATTTATCTTTGGCCTAATCTTCTGAAACAGAAGAACACTGATGTACCTTGGTAACGCTCACTCCGTTAGGTGGACCAGGGATCCTGCTTTCTAGTGGGGATACAGGAAGTCTGCAGGTGTGGGGTTTGGTGAAGACCATGTGAAACTGGGGCTGCACAACCCCTGGTTTTACATACTGGCTCACAGTTAACATATGTATTGAGCAGTTTTGTTTATCTAACGATATCAGATGTATCTAGGTTTGTATAGTTGACGTTATCTGTGTTAGAAAGTTGTTGAAAAGATTTCATGGGGCCATTGTCCAGTTTTGAGGAAACAAACCTTTCCGTAATGTAATTCAAAACTTTTTAAAAATAATGTACGTGGGTTAAGTTTTGCCAGGTAAAACATTTTCTATATATCTAGTAGCCTTTTTTGTTTGTTTCTGAATTTATTTTGCAGCCTGTGAGTGGAAAACGCATGCAAAACAATGTTATGTGTTAAGAGTAGATTAGAAAACTCGAATTTAACAAACTTGTTTTCTAACTTGCTTCAAATGCCAACAGAATTACTTACTTAGTTGTTTTTTTCACGTCTTAAAGTGACATCCCACCGTGTGCCACAGCTCATGTATCAGGTGTATTCTGGACATTACTCTCTAATGTGCTACTGTAATCGGAAAAAACAGTACACGCCTGTGTATAAGTTCCACATGTTGGGAGCGTTTCAGATTTAGGCTGTGTTGTATATTAGTGTTTCCTAAAATACAGAAGTGATAGACGTTAAAAAGCCCTCTCTCACAGGCATGTTCACATATGATGAGTCTACGAAGCTGTTCTGGTTTAACCCGTCGTCTTTTGAGACTGAGGGTCAGTTCACTCTGATCGGCATCGTCCTGGGCCTGGCGATCTACAACAACTGCATCCTGGATGTGCACTTCCCCATGGTGGTGTACCGGAAGCTGATGGGCAAGAAGGGCACTTTTCGGGACCTAGGAGACTCGCACCCAGTAAGCTGTTTGCTCTCTTTTATTTTTTAAAATGCAAATTTAAAGCCTTCAGTTGAAATCTCTGTAGGTAGATATTCACCCATGAAGACGAGGTGGCTTTAGTATAGCTGAAGTGTCACGGACACTGGGAAACGTGGAGGAATATTTATGTGTTGTCTGCGAGCAGCTTCTCTAAGTGATTCCGTGGAGAAGCATGTTGGAGAGTTGAGTTTGTATCATGAAGTTGCATGGGACAGCCCAGAGAGCTCAGCCTGCCTGCCTCAACCTGGCACCTGCAGTCGGTGTGTCTGTCTCTCTCCTCCTGCAACCCCGCTGTAGCCCTGACACCCCAGGGTTCTTGTGGAGCAGAGCAGGACAGCACTGGCGAGGGGGGCCATCGACTCCTCCCGTTGATCGAGTAGGCGCAGTGGTGTTGGGTGGCATGGCGACCTTAGTGTCTCCTTTCTGGCCTAGGTCCTGTATCAGAGTCTGAGAGACCTACTGGAGTACGAAGGGAGTGTGGAAGATGACATGATGGTCACTTTCCAGATATCACAGACAGACCTTTTCGGTAACCCAATGATGTATGATCTCAAGGAAAATGGTGATAAAATTCCAATTACAAATGAAAACAGGAAGGTAAGGAATGTCTTTATGTCGTTGTTTGGTCTCTAGCTGGGCAGCACACCTTTCCAGAGAAGGCGCGGAGCAGGAGCACTGAGTAGCTCACCGTGCCATGGAAGCGGCTCGTGTGTCCCAGTTTGGTGCGGCGCACTTCCCAGAACTGCCTGCATTCGGATCTGCGTTTCTGCTGACTAAAAAGTGTTCAGCTGCAGATAGGATTAACCCAGAACAAAACAAAGTAAATACTCATGGGGTCTTCAAAAAGTTCATGGAAAATGTATTTTATAAACGCGTGTGTGGATTGCAATTTTTGTGTGTGCCAAAGTAACCGTGTACTTTAAATCTGTTCTTCTGTGAACTTTGTGAAATCCCTTCATACAGTGTATCTCTAAGGATTCTACTGATAAAACTTCAAAGTGAGACACAGTCACTAAATTAGGAAAGGGCGTGTTTTCCTCTTAGGGCCTGGTGCGAGTGGCCGGGGTGCACAGACGCCCGCAGCTGCTGGGCTAGCAGAGGAGCCGCTGGCGGCGCTCTGTAGGGGAGGGCCCAGCCCAGAACATCACATGCCAGACGGCCGGCATTCAGGCCAGCAGGAGGCCTGTGGTCCAGACCCTGGTCTCCCACGTGGCCAAGCACGGCCTTCGTTCCCCACCTACAGCTGGAAAATCATGCCAGGTGTTTGTGTGCCTACCTGGGGGCCCAAATCCCAAGAGGAGGATGAAGGAGAAGGGATTGCAGGATGGCCATCTACCCTGGGAGCTGCTTTCTCCCTTGCCCTCTGTGGCGAGCACGCATGCCTATATACACACACACACACATAAATATACATTTGACATTATGTATTTTATATATGAAAATATATAATGTCTTTTTTTTTTTTTTTTTTGCTAGAATGATTTTTTCCTTGGGAAAAATCAAGAAAATGATGCTCCCAGGTACTTTGTTGTGTTTTGTCTTTATAGCATGTTATAAGTTCTTACAACCAATGTTTCCTACAGGAATTTGTCAGCCTGTATTCGGACTACATTCTCAATAAGTCCGTAGAAAAACAGTTCAAGGCTTTTCGGAGAGGTTTTCACATGGTGACCAACGAGTCCCCGTTGAAGTACTTATTTCGGCCGGAGGAGATTGAGCTGCTTATATGCGGAAGCCGGGTAAGCAAGCGGGTGCCATGGGGAGTGCGGTGACGCTGTCGTGTGGCAGATGGTGACACGTGTTTTCTGAACCTGCAGAATCTCGATTTCCAGGCACTGGAAGAAACCACAGAGTATGATGGTGGATACAGCCGGGACTCCGTGCTCATCAGGTGAGTGTCTCGAGCCCTGGACGGGAGCCTCGCCTTGCGGGGGCGGGACAGGTGGGGTGGGGCGCCACGCGCTCCAGACCGCTGTCTCCAGGGCTGCTGCGTCTGGCTGCAGGTGGGTCTAATCGCATCACCAGTTTTACAGGTACCATCGCAGTTTATTTCATGAGTGAAGTGTTTCATGGACCTCATGCTTTTGCTTGCCCATGGGTACAGATTATCTGATATTCCGGCTGGGTCTTACTGCTTGTGCGGCATTTTTTACTGCTGGTTAGAAATGCCGAACTGGGTTCTCCTTTCCTTTAATTCCATGGTCTGGGAACAGGTCCAGAGTGCTCTGTGTACAGCACCTTCTGTCCGAAGGGTACAGTCTTTTCTGTAATCCTTGAGATAACATGGCAAGGTGCGTGTCGGTATTCCGACGTTACACATGAAGAAGCCGAGCCCTGCACGCTCATGGAGAGAGGGAGGCCCCCAGCCCTGCTCTGCCCATTTCCAAGTGAGCGAATGCCCTCGCTGTTGTTGCGCCGTGTGCTCCCCGATGCTCCTGGTCCTGAGACTTGGGCTGCTCCAGCCCCCGCTGAGGTGCTGGCAGGGACAGAGATGGCGCTCCGCACTTAGTGGTGAGGCCAGAAGGCACACGGACACGTGGCTTTCTAGAACTTCCCTGGAGGTTACTGCTCTGAAGGCAGAAGGAATTCTGTTACCTTTCTGCCGTTTTACCTCCCGTCATTATTCTCCGCTGTTCTTCACCCTGGTGTGTGGGAGGTGGCTGGTGCGTGCCCTGTGGTACAGCAGCTGCTAACGTGCTGACTCTCAGCAGCTACCGTGCTTGTGTTTACTTGGCGTTTCCAGGGTGACCACAGCGTGTCTGGGGTGACAGTGCAGGGTTGGCTCACTCTCCGTCATCAGGACTGTCAGAGACGTTGCGCTACTCAGGGCCTCACACGACAGCTGTAGCTGCTTCATGCTTTTCTGAGAGTAGCTGAAAATGTCTTTTGCTATTATTCATGGCAAACTTATCCCCCCCCCCAAGGTTTCTGCCATAGTGCATGTGCACTCACCGGAAAGAGACAGAGAAAGGGAGAGTAAGAAATCACATCACCCACCCGCCCCAGCCCCGGAGATGGCCACGCCCCAATCCCTTCTCCTCGACTCTCCTTTCAAGAGTTTGGGCACACTTGCACATACACACACCAACGTATTTCCTACTTCGTACTTAAAAGTATTTGTTGAATGAACAGTTTGAAGGACGGGCTACGTTAAATGGCAGATCAAGCACCGTCCACCAAACTCCTCCTCTGTACCTGGTCGTTCTCAGACTGATTCCACACTGCTTGTCCACATCGCACTGGAGAGGCGCTGGGTGGCGTGGTCGTGTTTGTTAGAGTACAGCGAGTCTGGATTTACAACTCTACCTACATACCCTCCCCTCATTTCCTGATAGAGACTGTCAGTCCTGCCCGAGTTCCCGTGTGTCCCTCTTGTCCGTCTGCACCCTGGGGGCAGCCACTGCTACGGTGGCCGCTACTGTCAGTGAGTTTGTGTGTTCTCAGACTGCAGATACACGGGGCGTACCCTGTACCTCCCCATCCTTCACACTCACAGTTTCCAGAATCAGTCCATGATGGCTGCGGTCATGCGTAGTTTTTATTGCAGAATAGCATTGCCTCATTTGAATACATGACCTTTTTCATTGTTTTCCCTAGGAGGGGAGGAGGGAGGAAGGAACCGTTGCTGCCCTGGACCTACATAACCAGCAGTGTGGTTCAAGTCCCGGACCTGGGGCATGAGAAACACGCCAGGTGCATGTGCGTGCCCAGATCCAGGAGCGAAGTGGAGAGGGGTGGCATGGCCCACTCCTTGCAGGGAGCTTTCTCTCCCCTGTCCGGCAGGCACGTGCACACACCCCCTAGGAGGAAGTGGCCGCCATCAGCTTCACACTCACCTTTTATTGTACCTCTTTTAGCACCTACTGGTATGAGTACCGGAATCCATTGGTTCCCTGAGGATTATAAAACGGTGACTCAGAAAAATATTTTTTCTTTATTTTCCATGTATACCCACCCTTAGTTTCTTCTTCTCAGTGGGTACAGTTCCCTTGAAAAGGAGTTCTTTGGAGAAGGCGTGATAAAATGTCAACTTTGGGGTTAGTAGGTGGCATAGAAGGTAAGGCAACTAGACCCCACAGGGCCAACGGTGTGGTTCCAGTCTCGGACCCAGCAGCGCGTGTCTGCGCGTGCATACCTACGACCCCAAGGGGAGACGGGGAGGAAGCGCACGCCACGCGGGCGAGTTCTCACTTCCCCTTGCTTTGGGAGCGCGCACCCTGTGGTAAAATGAGATTGTTTTAGAATAAGGAGGTTTTAGTCACGCGTTTGGATTGGGAGTTTGGCTTGATTTGTCTTCACGGTTACAAACCCCTGGTTTTTCCATGGTCATTTACTTGAATATTCCTGGTGTGCTGTTAATGTGGCCATATTAGATTTGGGCATTTTTAGCTCACCTTGAACACCCTCAGCCTCAGGTTCACAAACTGCGGGCAGCGGCCGTGGCCTGCATGTCTTTGCTGTGCAGTGTGCCCGTTTCTACGGCTTGCTGAGGCACGTCTGCCCGGCGTGTCCTGCGGGGACCTGCCCTCCGTGTGGCTGAGCACGTCCGTCAGTGCAGGCAGGATGGGGAGCCCCGCCTGAGGGAACGGTCAGACCCCTCACCGCACATCTGGAGGCTTCCGTCAGAGTCCCGGAAGAGTGACAGGTGACTCGAGTGGCAGGTGCGTGCGTGACTTTGTTAGCTGCTGCTGAGCTCACCCCCAAAGAAACACAGCCTTCCGTGTTCCCTGCCGCCTGGGGCTGCCTTGGCAGGGCCTGCCAGGTGAGGAGTGCCCGGTGGGGTGTGAGGCTGGCTGTCCTCCCATGCTGCGGTGGGCCTTTCGTGTCCCCCCGGGCCTCTGCCTCTGCGAATGCGACCAGGAGGACAGCCCTGGTGGACATGCAGAGCATGGGCAGGTTTTGGGGTGTCCAGGGTGGACAGCAGCCAGTGCCCATGGCAACCAGGGCTGGCTGTATCTGTGTTCCTCTGGAAAGCGCCCTTGGAGGGAGGCCGTCCTTCAACATTGGGACAAGTGTCTCCCACTGTGGCATTTGACTTCGCCAAAGGAAGGCTTTTGTATTCCGACAGTGACTGTCGGGCTTCTCCCTGCCCGGCTTTGACACACATTTGTTTTCCTGATATTTTCGCTTCTGTACTGTAAGGTCCCAGTGGAACTTTGGTCACCTCGGACACTGCATATCTCCCCGGGGCTTGAGGGCTCTCTCTCAGATGTGACTGTGTGTGCGTTTCACGGCCCGACCTCCACGTGTCTTCCTGTCGTTGGCGTCTCCCCGCTGTGTAGCATGTAGTGAGGATTTTCCACTCTTCCAGCCTGACCGTTTCTCTCGGGAAGTCTGCATGTCTTTACGGAGGTGGCAGGGTTTTGTTCTCATGCGTGTTTCTAGAGGGCTCGAGCTCAGAGCCTTCTCCTCCCTGGTTCCACTTGCCTTAGGGGAGGCCCCTTGTCATTAGCCACCGCCACCCCGTGAGAGGCCGCAGCTGCTGCCGAGGGACATCTGTGCCTCGTGAGGTGCCCTCCTCCCTTCAGGAAGCTATTGTCCATTCCCGGTCGCAGGCACTGCCCAAGTCCTGCCTTTAGAGCTGCTCCTTGGCCCGTGCGCTAACCTGCCCCAGTCCTCAGTCGGAGGCCCCGTCCTCGGGTGACCCTCCGCCCACCTGCCCCCTTCCACAGAGCTCCTGCTGGACTCTGCCAGTGCTGTCTCCAGAGTACTCACGTGGCAGTCTTCCCTTTCATCTGGAAGGATGGTCAGAAATGTGAGTAGGATGTGATCCACGTGGACTCCTTTTTTCTGTGGACACCTGGAAGCTTCTTTTTCTCTTCTGCTTTATGAAGTTATCCTTAATTCAGAAAAGAATTTTGTCCAGTAATTGGTTCTTTTTAAAGTCAGAAGTTAAGCTGAACTACCTGGCGCTTTTCTGTGTAAAGAGAGCCAAGGCCAGCTCCCCCCTGGTGACGGCCCACCTGGCCACTGACCCCTGCTCAGCTGCTGGTCCCGTCGGAGGCTCGGAGGCAGTACACTGCTGCTGGGGGGCGGCCGCCGAGCTGCCACAGGGTGCTTCCCTTGCCAGGCGCCCTAGCCTGGTGACGCGGACCCGAGTCGGACCCCTTTAACTGAGAGGTGCGCCTGCCAGGTGCCTGTTGAGGTTTTTTCTCTCAGGGTGAACGTAGGTTGCAGGAACCAAGAAGGGGAGGTGTTAGAGGCCAGTCTCCTGCAGCTGCGAGTTCATGTCAGGATACGGGTGTTGCCACAATAAAATAATACATTTTACATGGAAAAGGGCTTCATGATTTCCCAACGACCCACCCAGTAGTGCACCGGAATTACTGGGTTTGTACTTACTGATTTGGGAAGTGTCACTCTTCGTACCAAGATTCTGAAAGAACCTTTCAGATATATAGGAGCATTCAGTAACCACCTACAAATATTTTTTCTTAAAATTTTGAATTTTGTAGGCTGTGGGTTAGTGTAATAGTTTTATAGCCACTGGGTTACTCAAACAAGCGGATCCGGATTGCTTTTTATGAGCTCAGCGTAAAGCGGCTTTTAGCACATAGGCTTCGGGGATGCCAGGATTTCAGTCACGCCCAGAATAACCGCATGGAGTGCCCCGCAGACAGCGCGCGCTAGCTGCAGGTACTCTGCTCCGTGCACGTGTCGCTGTCGGCTGTGAGGGCGCTGTCCGTAAGCTGTGTCCCCTTTCCTTCCCGAGGTTTAGGCAAGAGCCCCTGGAGCTGCGTCCGCAGAGCCCGTCTCGTGTCGCCGACGGCATCCTGGCCGCGCTCTTGGCTTTCCTGGTCTAGCTGTAGAGAGTGTGGGCGTTTCCTGGGGGCGATCTGCCTACCTGCAGTCACCGATGCTCAGGCCGCTGCCGCCTCGGCGGGGACGCCAGTCCCACGTGGCTGCTCTGCTCGTTCTGGTGAATGCGGACTGAGTCACTGTTGTGTCTTCTCTCATCAGGGAGTTCTGGGAGATCGTCCACTCGTTCACAGACGAGCAGAAAAGACTCTTCCTGCAGTTTACAACGGGTACAGACAGAGCACCCGTGGGCGGCCTGGGGAAGTTAAAGATGATTATAGCCAAAAACGGCCCCGACACAGAAAGGAAATGACCACGGTGGCCGTAAGCCCTGA